CAAAGGACAGACACATGGCTCCACGGTGTAGGATCTTCTGTATGGAACGAAGACCTCTCTTCTGGGAGCAAAGCTGCACAAGTATCCACGTTGGCAGCCCCTCCCCCCGGCCCCCCCCTCCCCCCAGGAAAACTCCTCCTCGCTTCAGCCCAGCTCCTCCGCGGGCCTGTGCTGGAAGCAACGTCCATCACAACCTCTCAATTACTGGGACTTTCAAATTTGGTTAACATCCCTCAGGCTTTTAAAGAAAGATATCTGTCCTTACCATTCTGTAGTATTTTTTTTAAATAGTTTATGGTCAGGTTGGTTTCCATATAACACCCAGTGCTCATCCCCACAAGTGCCCTCCCCCATGCCCATCACCCCCCTTCCCCTCTCCCCCACCCCCATCAGCTCTTCTGTAGTATTTTTATACTGCTGATTTAATTTATGCTTACATGTGGCCTTAGTCCTGAAAAAGTTAAAAAATTCCCTGAACATACTTTTTTGTGTACACGTACCTAGGATTTTAATGAGCTGGTGCCCTGGACCGTGGCTACTGACTTGCAGGGCCGGCTGCCCCAGCCTGAGACCGCCAGCCTCCCCCAGCTGGACCGGTGCTGGGGGAGGAGGAGGGCAGAATGGCAAGAGAGGAGTGAGGCTGCCACCCCAAACCGTTGACAGCGCCTGCGTGCCAGGCTCTTCCCGGCTTCGTTGCCTGCGAAGCGGTCAAGGAGGACACACTCTGCCTTGGCACCTTCTGGGTTTTTTTTTTATTTCCTAAAATTTACAAGGCTTCACAGTGGCCTAAGCTAAGCTTTTCATGAGGGGACCGTCAGAACCTGAAGTAAATTGGGAATGGGCACGAAGGCAGGATGGGCAGAGGCTGGAATGACGGCGGTTTGTCCCCATCTGGGGCCATGACACCACTGGGCCGTCTAAACAGCACAGTCATCTGGACAGAATACACAGAGAGTTGCCAGCCCAGCACCCCAACACAACGAGACAAGCTGGAGTACCCAGCAGACTAGCCATCCGAGCTGTACCCCAAACTGGGGACTCTGAAGCGGCCGCCCACGGTCCAGTGCGTGTGCTTTTTGGCTCAGATGCCCACTGTTGGTGGCTATGGGAGTTGAAGAGCTTCGCTCTAGTGCCCTGGGTCTACACCTGCGGGGGAGAGGCACCTTCGGTTCTAAATCTCACTCTAGTCAAGTGGAGCTTCCACTTGCCGGTCAGGCTGGGCTCAGAGAAGGCTGTTCCCCTCATGGGACCTGAGACGCCATCGCTCTTCCTCCTGTGTCTGAAATTCTACCATTATAGTCCTCTTCTAAGGAGAGCTTTGCTAAGTGGAAACACTCCTGAAAAGGTCTTATTTTAAACACATACTCAAAAATCAGATATCAATCACTTAATGTATACCAAGAATCTGCTGGGTACAGTAAAATGCCACCTGAATGGTCTCTGCTAGCTCAGCTGACAGCCAATGGGGACAAGGGGCATCAGACAAACAAGCCTATAAACAAACTGTGATGAGATCAGAATGGAAACATACAGTTCTTTTTTGATAAAGGAGTAAGGGAGGAATTTGGGGGAGTTAGTGTTTAAGGGCATAAGAAACAAATAGAATTGATCCATCAGAAGAATGGCCTGAGCTAGAAAAAATAAAAGTGTATTTGTCAACATGGATATAGTTTCTGGAGCAATGCAAGTGAATGCGACCACGTGGGTGTAAAAGGGTCAAATGCAGTTGTGAGGTCCTCCCACACACGGGGGTCAGCAGAGAAGCAGGGGCTGGGGGAGGGGTCAGGAGGGACACGGGCCATCGACATGGGGTGCCAGCAGATATCTGACCACCAGGGAGGAGCTGGCGGACAGACAGAGCATCCGCAGAGAGCAGACAGGTGGTGGACTCACTGGGGCACCAGGCCTCGATGGAGAGAGGAAGTAGACAGGGAAACTTTTCCATATGTTGACAACAAAGTGGTGAAATGTTCCCATAGTGCAGGAAAAACAAACCAGGAACTAGAAGATTAAGAAACACAGAATATCATCTCAGGAAGTTAACATCCATTTCTTAGCAGTTCCAATAACAGACACAGAGATAACAGAGAGAAGAAAAATCTGTAAACATAAAGGATAAAGGGGCTATCATTAAAACTTTGCAGAGAAAAAAAGTCACCAAAAAAGAAGCTAGAACCACACTAGCACGTGACTCATCACTACCCCCAACACTAGAGTAGGGTGTGAGGTGGCTGAGATGTGGGCAGAGCTGCTGACCAGTGTTCCCACCAACATCTCTATGGACACATTTCTTTCTTTTCTTTTTTTTTTTTTTAGTTTATTCATTTATTTTGAGGAAGAAAAATATTTATTTATCTTGTAGGTGTATGAAAGCAAGGGAGGGGCAGAGAGAAGGGAGACAGAATCGCCATCAGCGTATAGCCCGATGTGGGGCCGAACTCACAAACCGTGAGATCATGACCTGAGCTGAATCAAGAGTCAGACACTTAAATGACTGCACCACCCAGGCACCCCTGGACAAATTTCTGAAGAAACTGAATTCTTGAGTTGGACAGAGGCACTGTGCAGACTGCAGCCTAGGGAGGAAGCCCCGGAGCAGAGCAAGAAAGCCTCTGAGATGAGGAGACAGAGTCTGCACATCAAGGCTCTGAGGACAGCTGGGAATGTAACACAGAACAGAAGAGAGTTGGCACTATGCAGAAAGGGGCTCCCAAAACCTGCCCGGAGGTGTCCTTGAGGTCCTCGTTGAGAACTGAGCTCTAAGTGTTCAGAGCAAAACTCAGGGAGGCTGGACAAGACTACTACTGAGCAGCCCCACTGAGCAACCAGCAGAGCCCGCACAGAGCTCCACAGCATCGAGTCCTAACGGCCAATGTGCAGAGACTTCTTCAGGCACCTAGCACTCAGGTAACAACCCAGAGAGGCCGACCCTCAGGAGCAGGGCCGCTCCAGCTCTAGTGACATTCCCACAGACCCACCCTATTAAAGTACAAAGTAACTGCCTGACGGGCCACAAGTCAACACCCTTCACAGGTCCAAAATCTTCTAGCTTACAATCTAAACATAAGGGACATGAGAGAATCAGAAATACATGAGAATAAGCAGAAACCTGTGGCCTTCTTATGAGGAGGAAAGTCAGTAAACAGACCCAGGCCCAGAAATTATGGGGCTGATGGAGTTAGTGGACAAGGACTTGGAAACAGCTAGCATGAATAAATTTTAGATTTAAGAGGCAAACAAAAGACAGGAAAAAAAAAAAGTTAGATTTTTTTAAAAAGCAGCTGAAAAATGGGGCGCCTGGGTGGCTCAGTTGGTTAAGTGTCTGACTTCGGCTCAGGTCATGATCTCACGGTTCATGGGTTCGAGCCCTGCATCGGGCTCTGTGCTGACAGCTAGCTCAGCCTGGAGCCTGTTTCAGATTCTGTGTCTCCCTCTCTCTCTGACCCTCCCCTGCTCACGCTGTCTCTCTCTCTCTCTCTCTCTCTCTCTCAAAAATAAATAAAACATTAAAAAAAAAGTAGCTGAAAAACACAAGATCTGAAATGAACATTTCACTGGATGGGTATAGTAGATTAAATGTTACAGGAGAAAGGCTCACGAAACTTGAAAACCAATCAACAGGAACTACTCAAATTGAAGCACAGAGAAAAGAAGCTTAAAAGCAAGCCTTGGTGTGCAAGGAGCACAGGAGCCATAAACCACGCATGTAACCAGGAGACCCAGAGTGAGAGGTAAAAGCCAACAGAGAAAGAGAACAATGTTTGATGATATAATGCTCATTTTGTTTCCAATCTGGTAGGAAACAAACTCCATGATCCAAGAAGCTCAAGAATCCCAAGCAGAACAAACATTGAGTGTACCACTCCAAAACTCAGCTTAAACAAATTACTGAAAACCAGCGCTCAAGGGAAAAAATCTTACAAACAGCCAGAGAGAAATCTCTAAAATCCTATATACAGCAAAATTACACTTCTGAAATAAAGATATTTTCAGAGAAAAAAAATCAGGAAACTGAAATGAGCATGATAAGAAATGTAAAAGTCAACTTCTCTAAAGGAAGAAAGATGATGCTGAAGGAAACGTGGTCTACACCAGAAATGGTACACAAAAAGACTTCTCATCTGTGAACTCCTCTCAAAAGCAACTGACTGTTGAAGGTAATGGTGGGAAAATTACAGCCAAGGGGCCAAATCGGGCTTGCCTGTCTTTATACACTTTTACTGGCGCCTTGCTGCTCCCGTCTCCAGTCCTGACCACAGCCTGCGAGGCCCCCGTGTCTCATGCAAGCCCTCTCAAGCCAGACGACAGTGTCCCGGGCCTGCCTCAGTGTCACGCAGGAGGAAAGCACATGTGTGAAGCGTCCCTCGTCTCCACTATGAAGTATCTTCTCCACTCACGATGCCCCTAAACCACTCCAAAAAGAGATCGATAGGACCTAATTAATTTTATGACTGGCGTTGAATTTATCTGTTCCGGCCACGGACAGTCCTCTCCCTACACAATTGTTGCTAGTGCACAATGAAAATATCGATGGGAAAAAACAGAACTACTCTAAAGGAAAATTTTGTTTATACTTTAAAATATGAAGTACTAAATTTTATGAAATTATTTTATGAAAATCACATTTTTAGGGGGAATAAGTAGGCATTGTCTTCTAATAACAAACATACCCTACACTCCTGCAGGAGGAAAGGGTTTTCACATTTTTAAAAAACACAAATCCTTCTAAGGAATAAAAATATAACATTTTATAAAAACAATGCACTTTTCTTTTAATGAGTACTGATCAACTGTTTACTAATTAGATAGAGATGCCCCATGGTGTTTTCCCTTAATGTTGTCCAGATGTGACTGGTATTCTCAACTACAAATTTTAAAGAGAAACAAAACCCTTTTGAATTGTATCCGTGTCCTGAAAGAACGCATTCCACTTCGTGTGGCCCGTTTCTCGGACTCCAATTCCAGAGAGCACTGTTACTAAGAGGGACCAGCCCACTCACCTTGGCCGCCCCCCAGCAGGAGGGAGTAAACGCGCTGGCGCACTGGGCGGTAGACAAAAGCCTGGCTGGGCAGAGCTTGGTCCAGCGCGTCCTCCAGGGTGTTGCTGCATTCGATCTCCCCGCTGCTCATGATGTTGTACACCAGGTAGCTCTCTGCCTGGACGTGATGTGCTCTAGCAACCTGTTCAAAATTCAAATATAACTGGTTTCTCCTTGAAAACAAAACAGTGACCTCTAAAGAGAAAAAACAACAGCCTTGTATCACATGCCAGTGTTTTCAGGCTTTCAGAAACGGAGTAACTGTCCCTCAAGCCCCTGACATCAAGCTGGCATTTGTTTCCTTTCCTTGGGGCTTCTAGGCTCGAACTGTCATGTACCCCTCCCCCACCTGCACCTCCCAATCGCCTACCAGACCTAGCGCACAGCGTGTTGTCTGCCCCATGCTAGACGTTCCTATGAAAGGCTCGGACTGGCTTCAGCCCACTCCCTTCTCCAATCCGCCCTCCACAGCATCAACACCCTGGGTTCTCAGAAGCAAGTCCAGTCACTATCTCCTCAAAGCACCTGAATGGCTACCACAAATCTTCACCCTAACATTCATGGCCCCGGCGTCCTCTTCCCTTACACCAACGCACCTCCTAAAGACGGCTACAATGCAGTCACAGTGGAGCACCTCCACTGTTCCTCAGGAAGACTCAATCCTTCCCCATCCTCCCTAGGGCCTCCGGAAATGTGCCCCTTTTCTGGGCCTCCCCCCTCCCCACTTCACAAGCCCCTCTCCCGAGACAGTTCACCTCAAAGGTCACGCTGTCTTCTGCTCCCAAACAGAACCCGCCTCCCCTTGCCTCATGGGGCTTATGGCCATACACAACTGGGAAATGAGTGGCAGTCGGGAACCAGCAGGGGCCAGGTCAAAACGGGAAAAGCAGAGAGCCCAGAGCGGTGCCGTGTGAGCTGGCGGGGGTGCTGTCTCCTGCTCGACACGAGTCCTGGGATGGCTGAGCAGCAGACCCCGCCCGCCTCTAGGCACTGAGGCACCCTGCAGGCTCCACTTCTGCACTGCTGTCCCTTTGCCCGTGTGCCTCTCCCTGTCCTGTGCTGCAGGCAAAGTGTCGCAGCGGCTCCAAGTTCTATCTCTGAAGCCAGGCTTGAGTGTAGGAGCAGCTTCCTGACGAATCTTCCATGCTTGCCCTTCTAGACTACTGACCACGACCCACCTCCCCACATGCGAGCCAGGAACGTGGATGGGATCTTGTAAAGGGTCAAACCTGCAGTTAGAGGCTCGGGTTCAAAGCCAGGGGGTCTGCCAAGTACTAGCTGTGTGACTGCAGACAATGTCATTTAGCCCTTCACGTGGGGAGGGAGGCAAGCACATCTACCAACAGAGCCATGTGACAACTAAGGGAGACGATGCGAAGAACACCCGCCAGCAACTATTAACAGACCCACAAACATGGATCGGTGGAGAATCATCTCTGCATGGTCCATATTAAACTAGCATTCTTACATCCAACCTCATGGTAAAACCAAACCAAATAAATTTAAGCAAAATTAGATTTAGGTCTTCACTGTCTGTTTTCCTCACTTTGAGTGATGAGGCTGCCCAGGTGACTTCTAATTCTGTGTTGAGAGACAGCCTTTCCCCCAGGCTGTACCTCTCCTTTCCCCCCATCCAGGCGCACTCGCACCCAGGGCTCAGATTCTGCCTGCCCTCCAACTTCCAAGCCACGTCCTTTGTTTCCCATGAAGTACTTCAGGATGTCTCCAGGTAGGGTAATTTCAACTCCTTAATACTTTTCACCTATACTTCTCTTACAGTACATCTTGCATTCTACTTTTTACCATAATTTTTATGTTGATAAATTAACTTATCTGCTACAATGTATGCAATAAAGGGAGAGGTGAAGGACTTCTCAGATATGAGAACCCAGGAGGTTGTACAGGACAGAGGGCAGGAGCCACTAAAGGAAAGGCCCTAGAGATATGAGAGAAAAGGAAGACTGCCTTCTAGATTCAGCGAGCAGCTACTATGAGATGCAGCATGACAGACACAAGGGGCTCAGCAGTGAGAGACACAAACAAGACCCTGCCCTCACGGCACTGTCCCAAGCATGACATTCCAGTGAGGTGTGCACTACAGCAGGTGGGCGGTCGGTTGGGGCTTCTCTGAGTGAGGGACCACCCAGCTGTGACAGAAAAGACTAGCAGCCATGAACTAGCACAAGGGGCAGAAGAGCACGTGCAGGGCCATGACGGACAAGGGACTGGCCAGGCTAGAGAGGGGCGGCGGTGAGGTGAGGGCAGCGCGGCCTGCGTAAGGCTGCTGCTTCCACCCTGAGTATGGAGGAAGGCTTTCCTTCTGCACGCAGCATGACCAGTGGCTTGGAAGGGACAGAAGTCCACAGGGAAGAGTTGTGAGCCATTCCTGAGTCATCCAGACCAGAGACCGCGTACACGAGGGTGGGGAGACTGACTGACTGACTAGGTACAAGTAACAAGATGGGGAGAGAACAGTTAATGGGAGTGATTAATTCCTAGGTTTGAACTTCGTACCCACACAGAAAATGGTGATGCTCTGGTAGGAACAACAGAAGGTTTGTGGGTAGGAAACAACACGTGGAACTCACCTGGCACAGAACCTCACACGTCACAGGTGGTTAATAAATCATAGTTTTCCGTAAAAACTCTCAAGAGCTCTATGCCACTTTCAGAATCAAGTGCAAACTCCTAGCGGGGCATGTAATAACCTTCCCCATCTGGCTACATGCTGCCCCTTCCAGTCTCTCCCCATGTCCCCCAGGCCCTAAAGCAACAAAGAGTTGCCCATTCAGAACAAATATCAGTTCTCAGGAAGGTATGGCTCCTCTTCTACCTCTTGAGTAACTTCTCTCTGTACTTAACCCCAGTGATCTCTCCTTCAAATTCCTAGAGCCCTCTTCTACAAAAGGCATGCACCAATATCAAACATGCTTTATAATGTGAGTTTCCATATGCATTAGGTCATACTTCCTAACTACATGGCTAGAGTCCTGTTCTGTGCCCCCCACGGTGCCTCAACGGCTACAAGTAGGCAACAAATGCTCATGACAAATCCATCAATGGATATCTTTTCAATCATGATATGCCAGATTTGGGTGGGCACATGTACATACCTTTAAGATTTCAGGGTCTGAAACCATGGTCACTTGTAGTTTGACTTCAGGCTCCATAGTCACAAGGTCTTCTTGTTTAATTTCAGGGTTTGTACATACAGCTGCTTCTAGCTTAAATTCAGGGTCTGCACCTAGAGGTGATTTTTGATTGATTTCAGCGTGTGTACACATGGGATCTCCTTGCTTGGATTCAGGATGTGTATACACAGGAACTCCTTGCTTGGATTCAGGGTGTGTACACAGGGGGAATCCTTCCTTGGAGTCAGGATCTACACACACGGGAACTCCTGGCTTGGAATCAAGGTCTGTAGACACAGGAATTCTTTGTTTGGATTCAGGGTCCATACACACGGGAACTCCTTGTCTGGATTCAGGGTCTGTACACACGGGAACTTCTTGCTTGGATTCAGGGTCTGTACACATGGGAATCCCTTGCTTGGATTCAGGGTCTGTACACACGGGAACCCCTTGCTTGGATTCAGGGTCTGTACACATGGGAACTTCTTGCTTGGATTCAGGGTCTGAACTTATGGATCCCACCTCCTTGTCCAAAGTTATTAAACCCTTAGGTTTTTGGAAAAACCATGGAGATTTCTGTCCTGGCAAAAGATATGATGCCACACCCTTATAAAAAAGAGCTTTGTTTGGTCCCAAAGGTAACATGTCTTCTAGCTTTTTCTCACCTTGATGCAAGCGAAGAACTTTAGATATATGGTCTGCTACAGCTAAGATGATGTTCCCTTTTTTGTCAAAGTTTTCCTTTACAGAGGTATAGGAAGACAAGCACTTGTACCGAAAGCTTTCAAACATGCCTTCCGGGATAATGTCGTTGCCAAGTAAGCAGGCCAGAAGAGGGAGGTCTGCCAGGCTGATGTCCAGACTCTCACAGAGCTTCTCTCTGCAGAGCATGACGGTATCAAGACTCTCCAGGCAGAGCTCGCTGATTGAAAAGTAGGGACAGGTATCATAAATTAGGTAGTCGGTGTCCTCTCCAAGAATGCCCAGACAGTTATTCTGGAGGCCGTAAGACGCCACCTCGTAGTCAGCCTCTTGTAATGAACACAGGGTTTCCTGGCCCAGCGTCTTCAAAGCAAATCGTGTAAATATGGCCAGCCCTGAGGGGATGAAGAACATGTTTCTGCCAGGCTGCTCTTTGCGTGACTTGATGTAATGGAAAATCCTAGAGATCTCCCTGTTGTTCTTAAGTCTTCGTTTCACCCACTCATCTCTCTTGTCCTGCTCCACCATGCCATCAAAGAAGAATATCAACTTGATGCCAACAGCTGTAAAAGTCTTAACAAAATCCTGCAAAGCAGAAAAGTATTCCCGCCACTGGCCACCGCAGATCCAAGATTGGGGAGTATACCAGTATCTGAGACAACACATGGCATCAACCACAATGGTGGGAGTACATCCAGGATACTTGTTTCGGTGCTGTTCTGCCAGTTCTTTGAAATTCACCACTGTACAAATATGTGGGCAGGTACTGCCCACGAATCCCTGCAAACCTCTCACACCCATAATGGAACAGGAAAGGATCTGGAAAGGAAAATAAATTCATAATTATGGTCTTATCACTAGACACAGGATACCTTTTAAAGTAAATAAACATAAGACACTACTTAATATTCACTCTCTATTTTCAAAACCATCTAGGCACTAACCAGATGTATAACGTGACATACTGGTTAGGAGCCTAAAGAGTTTTCACTGAAGACAAAGAGGAACTCTAACCTAAGCACCAGTCACCGAAGTCGGCCTTCATAAGGACAACACAGTGTAGCAGTCCTCTAAGATTTGTACTAAAACTATTAATAAAGGGTAACAGCTTTCAAAGAATACATGTAACACGGACACGGATGTTTCTCAAAATCATCTTGCTGAGTGAAAGAACTTAGAACAAGCAGGAATATATGCCACATGACTCATGTATATGAAATTCGAGTCCACTGAGACCAGGGAGCAGGCAGCAGTGGTCCGGGGTGGGGCAGGTGGGAGGGAGGGATTTACGTAATGGAAACTCTTGGAGTGACGGATATGCTCACTACCTTACTTGTGGTGATGGCTTCACGAGTGAACACAGGCTAAAACCTCATCAGATTGTATACTGTAAGTAAGCAGTTTCCTGTATATCAAGTATACCTGAATAAAGGTATCAAACCTGGTGTCATACCTGGAAACTTTACTATGCCAAATGTTTGTAACATTTGAGTTCGTGACTGGCTTTGAATAGAAAACTGCCCACTCTAAAATGCAGAAACAGGGGCGCCTGGGTGGCTCAAGTCATGGCTTAGGTCATGATGTCACAGTTGGTGGGACTGAGCCCCACACTGGTCTCTGTGCTGACAGCACGGAGCCTACTTGGGATTTGCTCTTTCCCTCTCTCTCTGCCCCACCCCCATGGTCACTCACTCACTCTCTCTCAAAATAAATAAATAAACTTTAAAAAAATGCAAAAACTGACAAAGTAGTTCAAAGACTTCAAACTGGAAATCTGACAAAATCCTTAGCAGGGTAACTTATATAAAAAGTAAGGTGTCCCATATATAATAAAGGATGTAATATATGACATTTTTCAAGTGGGTAATAGCATCTGTCACTGATCAGAAAAAATTCCATGATGACATCTTTGATCTTTTTTTTTTAATATATTTTTTAAATGTTTTATTTATTTCTAGGAGAGAGAGAGAGAGAGAGACAGCGTGAGCAGGGGAGGGAGAGAGGGAATCACAGACTGAAACAGACTCCAGGCTCTGAGCTGGCAGTCAGCACAGAGCCCGATGCGGGGCCCGAACCTACGAACCGCGAGATCACGACCTAAGCGAAAGTCGGACGCTTAACCGACTAAGCCACCCAGGTGCCCCAATGACATCTTTGATCTTAATGGCCTATGATTTTCACTTTGGTTTTCTTTTAACATTCATCAGGACTTCACGTCCACTGACAGAACAAACAAAAACTCCTTATTACATAAATAGCTACAGGGGGCAGGAGGGTGGACAAACGATGCCTCTCCAGGCTCGGGACAGAGGGGCGCCACCCGCTGCCAGCACGCATCCATGACGATGGGGCTCGGGGCACACTCGCCTCCTACCAGACAGCGCGGGTCACTCAACACACAAAATCTCCAGTCTTTAAACCAACTCTGGCAGGTGAAACACTGTAAGCTCTACTTTACAAGTGAAGAAACTGCAAATAAACTACTATGAGAAAAGGTACCCTCACACAGGACTATCTTTTAAGAATTTACTGCCTGTTAATGGACACTGGCCCCTAGCGAAATTTGAAGTTACCTATCTATTTAATAGCCATGAATATTGAAAAAATATATAAACATGGAATGGACATAAATCATACACATTTATGTATGTTGAAATTTAGAGAAATCTTGCTCATTGAGTTATTAAATATACCCCAAATCACTGCAGAACTATCCCCTCATAGCATTGACCTTGGGAACATGACCAAGGTACAAGCGTTTGAAGCCCAAACTGGACTTCCTGGTTATTTCAGCTCTAAGGTGGTTCTACAGTCTGGGCTTCTGGGTGCAGATCCTCTGTTTAAGAAGGTTACGCGGTATTTCTGAGGCCAGATGGTTTTTCCCATGATAGTCCAACACAGTAGTCTGGCCCCGGTCTGGAAAGAGAGTGGAAGAACACAAAGGGTGGTCAGGACGGATTACAGAGACGATGCTTAGGCCGCACACCCTGCAAGCCATTACTCTGTGCCTCGCTTGGAGAAAAGCAGACTTGCACGGACTAAAGGCAATCTTACAGATTCGGACCCTGTCTGAATGATGACATGAGACTCCGCCGCGTTCACCAGGTTCTCTGGGGGTGCCGGCCACCTGACAAAGCCCAACGCCAGCGCTGAAGGACCCCCTCCCAGCAAGCCCACCAGTGGCCAGTGGGGCCTCCTAGTCTGGCTCGCTCAAGACGCACATGGAGACAAAGCCGGAGCGAAAGAGAACCTGCCCTCAGTGCCGGCTCCCACACAGACGTGGGCTCCCGTTTGTGCAGCAGCTCTGCCACATTTGGGTTGGCCGCCTTCCCTCACCAATAAAAAGGGATTTTTGTTTCAAGCATTTTTCTACTAAAACTGCAAGTGACAACACTGTGTTGCTCAAAACACTCTCTTCTTTATTTTGGGAGAAGTCAGGCTCAGCCTCTGCTTTGATTTTATTCAAATGTTTTCCTCCTTTCCCACCCAGCAGTGAAAAGCTCACTATTGTAATTAAACATGTACGTTTTTTTCCTCTTTCACTCTGCCACTTTCTCACATTCTGAATCACAGATTACCTCAGGAATGTCACGTTACAGTGTGCTCTTCTATGGCATTTACAAAGAAAGATTTGGACGGCCAAAGACCTGGAACCGGGGACTCTGGAAGGCCTCTTCCGGTCCTCTGGCTCTGGTGCTCCCGCCACCTACCCCTTGACGAGATACCCAAACTCCGGTCCTCTGGCTCTGGTGCTCCCGCCATCCACCCCTCAACAAGATGCCCAAACTCATGGGAAATGAAATGGCTACAAAAATAAATTCTGTGGATATTACCATTGTAAATAATTTTAGTTTTGTTTTTTTTTTTTGGTGAAGGTTTTATATGGCTGACCCTTGAACATGGGTTTGAACTGCATGGGTCCACTTACACGTGGATTTTTTTATGTAGTGCAGTATAATAAATATATCTTTTCCTTATGATAGTCTTAATAACATTTTTTTTTTCTCCAGCTTACTTTATTGTAAGAGCATGGTATACAATACATATATTGTACACAAACTGTGTCAGCCGACTGTTAGCCATACGGCTCCTCGCCAACAGTAGGCCATGAGGAGGTAAGTTCTTAGGGGGCCGGATTTCTGACTGTGTGAAGGGGCCAACCGTACTGAGGTTTTTCACTCTTTAAAGGTGGTTTCGAAGATGAATACAAAGATATACAAAGATATACGCACATATACATATATATATACAAACACACTATATATATACGTATATATATATGTACATATACACACAAACACATAATTTTCATTATCCCGATATTGTTTAGAAAGAAAACACATGTCTCACTAGAGAGGAGTCTTCTGGCCCAAAATGCAATCTGGGAATCACTTCCATTACTGTGGGCCTCCTCTGGGCAGAGAATGTCACTTTGTCACATCCCCAAAACCCAGCACTGTGACTGGCATGCCAGGGGCCCAGCAAGCACTTGCAAATAAATGAATAAAAGGAGGCATTCATTGAACAGGAGGCGTATAAAGAGAAACCAGAAATCAACAAGTTTACGGACTCCATTTGCAGGTAAAGAAAGAGTAGGAAGCAGAGTCCCTGCCCTCAAGTAGCTGACAACCTGGTCTGGGAAACAAGGCGTCAATGCAGGGAAGTTCATGAAGGAGGAGGAGCAGGTGCACACGTCCAGAGCATGTCTCAATGGAAGGGCCTCCTGAGAACAGCTTCCCCTATAGAGCAGAACTATCCCAACTCACAGGTTACCAGGAAATGAAGGAGAGAAGAGGAAAGAGAAGTCCAGAAGTTCCTTCATTCACAATCTTTCGATGATGAAAACTTAGAGAATAAAGAGTGCAGTGCCTCAGAACAGACACATCACCCTGCCTGCCACTGACAGAAGGGGCCGAGTCCCTCTGGACACAGGGACAAATGGACTCGAGACAGCACGCTGACAGGGGTGGGAGGGGGGACACACTTCCTACCCAGAGATCAACGTTTGCAGAAGGACAATCAGTAGGAGCAGCTCTGGCCACCCTAAAGCACTGCCATCCAACAGTGTCAAAGCATGATTTCCAAAGGCCAGAAGATAAGCCATGCAAACGTGAATTAACGAGGAAGTCTGTGCAGGGGATGCGGGTTCAGAGGGCACTGGAGAGCTGGAGTTCACTGAAGTAAGCTATTTTCAGTTGGAGACAAATTAGGTTGTAGTTCTACAGCACAATGAAACCAAAACCTTTGAGTTTATTTTTATCAGACAGAAATAATTTGTATCTGTACAAGACAAAAACCCATAAATTAACATGGAACAGCAGCATCTGGGCTCTAATCCAGAATAACTGGAAAACTCAGAGAGGCACATTCGGTTAGAAAGCTAAACAATCATGGGTGAATCTGTTAAATGATGGTCCACGCGATGGTGACAAAACACACAGTCCTCCTTTTTCTTTGCTTCATTTCCAAGTCTTAGGTGTTCCCTCCCTTCCCTCAGGGGGGCCGCCTTGTAGCTGGACGTGGGCTTCTTTCTCTGGTTCCCTACCAACCTCATCTACAAAGGGAAACGTACAAGGACCCGCTTCAGCACAGCAAGGCAAGAACAAGGACTGAAAACTCCGTGAAAGGAAAACCTATCCCACACCAGCACATGGGACAAGGTTAGTTCAGGGTTTATGAATATTCATGAATGCTCAAACCAAGTGAACAACTAAGCTACAACTTATGAGTGGCTGCCACCTGCACTGGCGTCCATGCTTCAGAGGCCCTCCACCCAGGACTCATCAAACTACTGAAAGGATGCTCCCCTGGGGCAGATT